AAATCTAATCAATCGAAAAAAAAGTTGACCGACAAAACCCTATTCTTTAAATAGGGTTATGATGTATGGCATTATCATAACTTGATTATAGTATGTTGAATCTTGGCTTGCTTCTAGGTCTCCTCTCTTTTGGGAGTCTCCTCTTCCCAGAACTCAATCTTTTTCTCACCTCATGCTCTCCCCGTCTCTTGAGTTTTTCCCTCTTTCTCCTCTACCTTTTGCTTCTCTCTTTTTCATCTTATAGCCACTGCAAAGCCGGTGTAATCAAGGGTTGATTCCATTGAGAACTTCTCCTTCACTGTAATTCTTCTTTTGTCAGGCATGCTTGTTTTTTTAGCTGAATTAGAAAACAATACAAGTACGCTTAAATCAAGGGAATGTAAATTTTGTTGGAAAATTTCATTAGAAAAGTTGCAACTACCTCCTTATATTTTGAAATGAAGGAATCTAATTGCAATTTTACGCATTTCTTAATAACTTCATTTATTAGAATTGATGCTTGATTCATTACTGCCAAATCTTATATGGCATCATTTTAGCTGTAAAAACTTTAAACCTTCAAAATTTTTGAATGATGTTGATGAACATATAGTTTCTTAATATTGAATTATACTATTTTTTCTAACGAGTCATAATTATTTGTAATTGAACTTCTAATCTAATATATCCTGTTTAGAGGATAGCAGTGAATAGTATGATCCTTCATGATATATAATAGTTTTTCTTTTGTATTTTTTTTTATATGATCACCATTTTCATTGAGCCATGTATAAGCATCAACCACATACCATCTCCTTGCTTGTGTGCCTTAATAAGGGGCTAGAGCGCCATGCTCATGAGAACCTCGTGAGTGTAGATACTGATGCTTATGGAAAAGTTTCATGTCAAGGTTTTTTTAAATGTACTTAACTAAGCAGCTGATGCATCAAATTGTGATTAATAATGTAAGAATATATTCTCAGTATTTAACTTTTAAATGATATTTGATATTTACTAAACACCCCTTTTGTTTGAGTTCTCGAAGTACAAGTATTGCATGTAAACGAGTTGTGTGGCACATATTAACATTTTTATATTTGCAACTAAGTATGCTTCTTGCACATTAGCACCAGGACATGCGTACTGCTTGCTCACATTTTTTGCTTACGTGCATATCTTTGGCATCCTTAGTAGGTCTCTTGATGATTTGACTTGTTGTCTCAATTTATAAGTTACATGATTATATTATATTGTAAATAGATTTTGTTGGTATGAATATGTACAATGAAGGTTAGAAAATCCACTCATTATACTAATTCTTTAAATAGTGGAAGATGAATGTGAAGTAAAAGGGAAACACTTAATATTGCATGGATATAAGTTCCTCAAAATATTTTGCGAAGGACATGCTTAGCACATTAATACAATACTTATGAGAAGTGAAAAGAAGTTAGATATCCTAATGCAGTTCCCAATAATGCTAATGGTGATGCATATTTATTAGAAAGCTTAAATAATTGCTGCTATTGCTTGCCCAGTGAAAGGAACCTTTGCAGTATGACAAAACTAATGATTTTTTTTTTTTTAATCTTTTTGAAGTTTATCTCCTCCTCCTTTTCTCTTCTCACTTTAGTCATTTGTAAGTTGTTGCAGGTGGGAGGCTTAGGTGACGTTGTTACAAGTCTGTCACGTGCTGTTCAGGATTTAGGGCATAAAGTTGACATTGTTCTTCCAAAGTACGATTGCCTGAAATTTGATCATGTAAGTCATCCACAAATTAATTTCTTGTTTGAAGCTTCTTGTTGTGATTTTGGAGGGTTTGTCTGGTAGAAATATTTTTTGTGTGCCGCACTTGTACTGGGACGTGCAATCTGTTTATCTAAATTTTCTTGGTAAATAGGATTGATATTTATGATATTTTCATCCTTCTATGGCCGCACTTGCTCTATTTTTTTTGGTTTAAAGCATTTTTTTTCTATCAGTTTCTTTGAATTGTAGGGATTGTGTACTAACATGGTAGTAATGAAGACTGTCAAAAAAGCTCGTTGTTCGCGAACAACTTGTGTTCGACTTGTTAAGTAGCTTATGTTTGAATCGTTCATTAAGTAAACAAGCTGAACACATAAATTTTTTAAGCTCTAATTATAAATGAACTGAACGCGAACAACCCTTTATTTGATCGTATTCAATTCGTTTTAGGTCGAAATAATTAAATTATATATATTATTTTATATAATACTATATTACATATATTTATTTCTAATTTTAAAATATAATAGCTTGTGTGATTATATGATTTAGTGCCTTCTATTGCACATAATTGGTGCAGGTTCAAATTTAATACCCTACATCTATTTTTTATCAATAATTTAAATTAATCAATTTCGAGTCGAACACGAACAACAATGGTTAAGTCGAGTCAAACACTAACACCCTGTTCACTAACAATTTTGAACACGAGCCAATTTCAAATGAGTCGAACTTGAGCCAAGTCTAAGCTCGCTAAGTCAGCTCATTTATAACCCTAATATCAACTAGCCATGTCTATTTACTAGCATTGATATGCATAGGATACACCATTGAAGATATCTGAAGACAAAATAACTTTTAAGAGTGGATCATTTTTCTAACCTAACAAAAACTTGGTTTTCTTTTCATTATTTTGTTTTTGATGAAATTTTATTTTCTTATTAGTCACAATGTAGGAAGACCTTTTCATCTATTTGCTCTAGATGTAAGTCTTCCTCTTCTATCAAGCTCGAACACAACTCTTATACTTGTTATTTTCATTGCCTGAGAAAATATCTGGTGTAGTCAATTGCTTACTTTTGTTGAAACACCATCAGAACAAGTCTCGCATTGTAGCGTTAGCTACCATCTAACTCTTCTTTCTTCCTATAAATCCACTTGTTGTGTAGTGTCTTTTGTCATGTTTTAATTCTTCCAAAGTCTTATGTCTGATTTGACCTTAGTGACTGCATCTCATCATCAATGATAAACTCTCACTACTTTGAGTCTTTAACTTGAGCGGCTTCATCATAGCACTCTGGTTAACCGCTATCAGTCAACAATAGATTGTACAAAGAAGAAGAATACCTTTGTATTGGTTGTGTGAATTTGTTATACCTTCTTACTTTCGTAGCAGGTGTTTAAGGAACTCCTTGTGCTTCATCAAATCAAGCATCTTTACTTTCTTCATTTTCCTGATCATCATTATCTTCTATCTCAATATATTTGGAGGGCCCTTCAGAAGTAACTAATGAACAATCCTAAGTTCCTTCTGTGTTTTTGTACAACTCCATTTCATGGAAAGTAGTATCCCCGCTTTTAATGAATTTCTGATTCTAATAGTGAATTTCCGATTTGGCTCGACGCTCCCAGTCTTCCTTCCTTGGATCGCACTCGACGATCTCTATCGCCCTGCTCGACAGAAAGTGAAGTCTGCTCGCCTCTTTCTAGCAGCTCGCCAGCTGTTCTAAAGATGGCCTCGACGATGCGTTCCTATGCTAATGCACTTGCCGGCAAATTTCCGATTCCTACTCGTGCTCCTCTTTTAGGTTCAGAGTCTGGTTTTCATATTGGCAAGTCCTGCAATGTTTATCAATCTTTCCACGCCGCTCTTGAAGATGGTGGTGACCACACTTTCATTAAAAAGCTTGACAAAAAAAATGGGAAGCCCGCTCTTATTCTCACTGAGGTTGAAATCATTACTCTCGCGTCCTCTTGGCATTTTGCTCTAGTGGGGAAATTTATTTATGGTCACCCAAAATTGGAGATTATACAGAAAGAGTTTGATGCTATGAAACTATTGGACAGTTGAAATATTGCCTTACTTGATATTACTTGATGGACGACATATACTTATTCAGTTATCTCATGATGCCGATTACACTCACATTTTTTCTCGAAAATTTATTAAGATCAATAAATATTTAACGAAAATTCTCAAGTGGAATGTCGATTTTTTGGACTGTCAAATTTGATCCAAAAGTGGAGTCCCCTATCATTCCTGTTTGGATAAGATTTCCGGGGTTAAAACTATATCTGTTCAACTTGAAAATTTTCTACTATTTAGCAACTGCTTATGGTAAGCCTCTCAAGGTTAATAATTCTACGTTTCCTGTCACCAAACTCTCTGTGACTTGTGTGTTAGTTGAGAGTAATATCACTCAACCAGCTCCGAATGATGTATGGATTGACACCACTCACAACGAGTATTGACAAAAAGTTGAAATATAACCACACCCTCCTTATTGCTCTCATTGTAGTATGTTTAACCACAATTCTACTACTTGTTATCTCTTGCATCCTCATCTAAGGCCGAATATCGCTAAAGATCAGCCACCTACCATCTCTGCTGAGAAGGTGCAATTTGATTCTCTTTCCAACACCGCAGTTCCAGATGCAGAACACCATACTATAAGTATAGATCCAAATGTGCTTACACCACTCACTGTTATTGAAGAAGACCCACTTACTTGTCAAGACACACGGGAGTGCTCATTCGATCCGATAAAAGATCAGCTGGTGTAACAAGTAGTTGCTTCTAATGTTCAACAATCTACACATGTTCGACGCACTTTAGACCAATCCAATGATCAGACGAGTCAATCTTGGGATGAGGAATGTCAGGTCTATTCCAAGAGGAAAAAGAAGAATAGAGGCCGACTTGAACTCAGAAATTTATTGGATGATACATTAGTTACTATTGACAATGACACTCATCTTACCAATTTATTAGCTGGCTCCTTAGAATTAGAGGTAGAGACAAGACAAAATTGGATCGCTCTCTAGCTACCTGATATTCCGTATTTTGACACTTTTTGGTATTTTATTTAGGTTTCTCATGTTTTTTTCCGTATCTTCTCTTTTTGGAACTATTTGATGTGGTGATTATCGTGTGGGCAGGGTGCCATGTTTGACCCTCCCACAAAATCTATCTATATCCTACTTTCTATTTAATATATATATTTTTTTGGAACCATTTGTGGTTATCGCGTGGGTAGGGTGCCATGTTTGGGCCCTCCCACACAATCTATCAGTATCCTTCTTTCTATTTAATATATTAGCCTTTGGGCTTTCTAAAAAAAATATACATATATATACATATATGTACACACACACACACACATTTATGTTCTAATCATAATCTAAAAAGTGGTATCAGTGCCATGTTAGGTTTTAATCATAATCTAGAAAGACTATTAGGTTGATTGAAAAAAAAAATTATAAGTACGTATTAAACCTTTTTTTTTGCTTGGTTTCCTTTTATTAGTAATTTTGCACTCTGGATGTCCTTATGTTGGTTTGGATGTTTTAGATACTTTTATGATTTAATGGCTCTTTCGATTTTGAATAATTTTTATTGTAGATTATTGTCATTTCCGTTTGGGGCAGCTTGTGCGTTTCAGGATAAGCTACTTATCGTGAAACGTGGCCCGCGGGCCGACCGCAGGGGTCGACCCGCGGCCTGCGTTTAGTGTAAAAACCCAAACGCAGTTTTGGATAAGCTGGTGAAACCGCGAACCAAACAGTACGGCGGCGTTTTGAAAACGCCCCCCGCACCTTTTAAACGCCCCCGTTTTGAAAACGCCGCCCGCACTTATAAGCTGCCCCAAACGGACCCTTAGACTGAATGTACTATTGTTTGACCGTTCGTTCCTGCCTTGATATTTCAAATTTTTGGGTTTGGTTTGGACATATCGGAAGTTGCTCACACATTCTGCAGACAAGGTTGCCATGTGTTGAATTCCACAGGGTTTCACAGCTATAACTGCATAGCACGGGATAATGATGCCCCAAGTCCAATATCATTAATTCTCATGAACTCTGGGATTTAGCTATGGGTATATTTTTCTTAATTTGTTGGTTGCGTCAAACTTTTTTCCTGCAAGCGTACTTGAAATATCTGTCGAACAAGTATGCTTAAAATAAGTTTTTCAAAGAATGCTTAAAACTTATCCCTATTTTAATTCACTGAATTTAAGCTGCACTTTTTAACTATTATGTTTACAAATTTTCTTCCACCGAAGAGGCACACGCTTGTTTTGTGTATGGTTGTTTCAAAGTTGTACTAGGTTCTTTTTTTATTGTAAATATACCGAAAAAATTGAAAGCCGGAATGTCCAAAACTATGACAAGCTTTACTAGTGCTTATTTTAGTATTTAATCCATAATAATTTTTCTTTTTCACCTTGCTATTTATCTTCAAACATTTACTCTCTTTGTGCAGGTTAAGGATTTTTGTTATCATGTAAGTTTCGGCTGGGGTGGAACAGAAATAAAAGTGTGGCGCGGTAAAGTTGAAGGCCTATCTGTTTACTTTTTGGAGCCTCAAAATAGGTAACATATTAGCTTTTTCTTCCAGCTTGTCTATTTGCTGCACATTTTCTTTTTGGAGCCTTGAAAAATACCATTTTTGTATATCTTGGCTGAGATTTTGATATGAGCCTTGGCGAAACCAGCTCATGCTTCTTTCAGCACCTTTTTTTAATTAGTTCTCGACCTAACTAGCTTAATATAATTCAAATGATCTCATTTCATTTTATAAAATTTTACCAAATAAAGGTCTAATTTGCCAGTCTGATAAAGAGGATAAAATTTACAGCCTAGTCTTTTTATGTTTTTTTTTGGGCTGCTTCTTTCAGTCTTCCTGTTAAATATTGTATATCTACATCTCATTTTCACTTAAGTTATCAGACCATCAATGCATCAGGGTTATACGAGGTGATCGATGGTGGCCTGACTCAATTTGGATTGACCTTTTTGGGTCAAACTTGAGTCATCAGGTGAAAAGATTTTCTTTTTTTTAATATAAAAAAATCTCTAGCATTTATTTTATATAAAATAATGTGCCCTTAGAGATAAATTGAAATAATATATTTAATTAAGGCTATATTTTCTTAGGCCCTTTCAAGACCCGGCTTAAAATTTCACCCAATCTTTACATTGGCATTGTCATTGACACCATTCTAGAAAGCTGAGAATGTGTTTGAGGATTGGATTTAGCGAAGAAATATTTTGGATTGTTAAGAAAAAGGAATATAGAAGCTGGTGAAGATTGGAAGGTTAAAAGGTGGTTTCAATCGCTATTCAGGGGTAAGACAGCCGGAAACAAAGCAAAAAGGGTAATATCGGCTAGTACGACTGCAAAGGAAGATCCATCACCTAGTCTCCAATAAGACTTGTGCTCACCACATACACAAGGAAAATGAGACAACACTTAATAGGGTAGAAAGCCAGAAAACAATATCTAAAATGCATAACCCAAGCATAAGTCCAAAATCAGGTTATAAATAATATATTTATACTATCAAATAAAAACAACCCTAATTCTAATTCAAAATAAAGCAAAATAGGGCTCCACAAAGGCTGACCATCCTTATGGGATGGGGATATCTCTTAATGGGATGCCCGGGGACTGAATTCCCTCTAGTTTGGATATCTTGATCCCGCCTCGGTGGAATCTGCTCCCACATTACATATATAAATCATGTTTATTACAACAATTTTAGTACAACGACAACAACAACAACAACAACAACAGACCCTTATCTCACTAAGTGGGGTGGGTTACATGAATCCTTTTTCTCTATTGCGTCTTACTGAGTGTCATATTTCATTTAATTCTAATAAACTAAGATCATCTTTTACCCAAGTCTTTCCAGGTCTATCTGTGCCTTTCTTAACATAAGTCAAATCTAAAACATCCACTCTCCCAATCGAATCATCAGATGGTCGGCGTTTAATGTGACCAAACCATCTCATATGGCTCTCTCTAATTTTGTCCGCCACTGAAGCTACACCAACCCTATCACGGATACATTCATTTTGCATTTTGTTTCTAAGTGTTCTAAGTGTAAAGCCAAGTGTAAAGCCACTCATCCACCTAAGCATTCTCTTGGCAACACTTAGTTTTATGCTTCTCCTTTAAAGACCAACATATAGCACCATAGAGCATTGCAGGTCTCACCACCAAGTCTTAAATAATAACATGATCTCGAAGAAAAACCCAAATCATAATAGAAAACGATAATTTTATTACTGAAATTTAAAAGGACTACAAACACTGACTCTTGATAAGAAGAATAACAACAATACAAACACGGAAGACACCCTAAGTTGGCGGCGAGGGTAGTGGACGATGGCTGGGCAATAGTTCGAGGGATTGATTGGAGGAGATGGGAGCAATAGGAGGCTGGAATGAGGGTAAAACAATCGGTCGGTTGCTACGAGGTTGATGCCAGCAACTGGACACAGACTTAGGGGCAACGACAAAGGAGAATAGGGATTAGACTGCAGGTTTGGGGGAGCAAGAAGGTGGGCATAAACAAGTGATTATATATATATATATATATATATATATATATA